TTTTTTTTTTTTTTAAGACAAGATCTCCTTATAACTCCAGCTGGCCTGGAACTCACTCGATCTCACAGAGATCCTCCTGCCTCTGCCTACCAAGTGCTGGTATTAAAAGCATGTGTCATCACACCTGACTCTTAGTTATGTTTTATTTTTGAGATAGGAACTTGCTGTAGAGCTCAAGTTAATCCTCAAACTCATCGCTGTCTTCCTGGCTTAGCCTTACAAGTGTGGGGCTTATAGGTGTGTGCCACCATGTCTAGCTCTTTGATGCCTTATCAGAAGACTTACCTCTGTAACTTTGTGAACTTACTGGCTTCCTCTAGGGAGTAAGCACCAGGAATGGCTATATTACACTCAAGATGGGATTTCTAGACCCTTCAAGCTTACTGTAGCTGAAGAAAAATGACCTAGTTTTTATTTGCTTTTCAACTATGGGTCACAGCTACTACTGCCATGAGGATGTGCATATTTGGATATCATGGTCCTCTTGCAGGCAGACTCAGAAACAGACTAGAACAGGCCTTCTGTCTCTTTTCTTCCTTCTTTCCTTCCTGTTTTGTTTGAAGCAGGGTTCTATATGCCCTCTCTACTTTTATGCAAAAATACTGGACTTTTACAGAAACACAGGTCCCAACAGTAGTACCAAATCTGAATTTTATGCCTGGGTTTTTAAAAACTTTTTCAGGAGGTTCTGTTTTTGTTTCTTTGAGGCAGGATCTTGCTGTGTATATCTAGATGGCTCCAAACTCATTATATGACCCAGGCTGGACTAATAAACACACAGTTCTACCTTATAATGAATGCCAGGTAGGTAAACATGCTTCAGCCTCCCAAGTGCTAGGATTCCAAGAATGAACTACCAAACCCAGCAGCCTTCAGGAGCATCTTACACAGATAAGGTTGAGGATATAAGGGATGTGTGTTTCAGCATCTTCCTAAAGAAAGGTTTTGTTGTTTGTTTGTGATGGTTTTGGTAGAAGTGAGGGCCTTGAATATGCTAGGCTCTATCACTGGGCTCTACTCCTGGCCTAAGTTTACAAAGTTTTCTTTAAAGTGGTAACGTGATTTATTCGTTCTTATGAAGTGATCACTAAAGCACTTTGAAGCTTTGTATTTAATGAATTTTTCACTTATATGAATTAGAGAAAAGCAGGAAGAGCTGAGTATACACACTCCTATATCCCAGCACTTGAGAGACTGAGGTAAAAGGGTAGCCTGGCCTCATAGCGATAGCTCTTTCAATAACAAAAGAAAGAAAAGAAGAGCCATGAGATGAAAGTATGATTTATTAACATTTTAAATGTCACATTTAAGAGCAAAGGTGCACACACACAAATGATCACAAATACTAACATACTTTTTTAATCTGGGTCAGAGCCTTAGCAGGATGCTCTAGTAGTCCACTTTCTGTAATTTACAGGCCTCTGGGTAATTTAATCTTGACTCTC